AAGCTGAGGCAAGAGAATAGCTTGAGCCCAAGAGTTTGAGGTTGCTATGAGCTATGAGGTTTGGTGTCTGATTAGGGCTAACTTTCTGCTTCACAAACTATTGAATTTTCACTGTGTCCTCACATGGTGGAAGGGGCAGGAGTTGGGATGGGCACCTGTAGTCCCAAGTACTCTGGAGGCTGAGGCAAAAGAATCGCTTAAGCCCAAGGGTTTGAGGTTGCTGTGAGCTGTGATGCCACAGCACTCTACCAAGGGTGACACAGTGAGACTCTGTCTCAAAATAAAAAATAAAAAAATAAAAAAAGAGAGAGACAGGGATTTCCTATGTTGCCCAAAACTCCTGGGTTCAAGTGATCTGCCTATTAAGCCTCTTGAGTTGGGATTATAACTGGGATTACAGTTTCTGTGCCTGGCTCAACAACCTCCTGAATTTATAGATTAGAACACGCTTTCTTTCCTTTCTTGATTGGCATAATTATGACCCAGCTTTCAGAATGTTTTCCTTCTCTTCTTGTCCTGGCCCCACAATACATTCCAACAGAAGGACTATTTCCATAGCCATAAGGAGTAGACTTGAAAACTATTTGTGTTGTTGAAATATTTATTTTTATTTTATTTTATTTTATTTATTTTTAGAGACAGAGTCTCACTATATTGCCCTAGGTAGAGTGCTATGGCGTCACAGCTCACAGCAAACTCAAACCCTTGAGCTTACATGATTCTCTTGCCTCAGCCTCCTGAGTAGCTGGGACTACAGGTGCCTAATGCTCAGCTATTTTTTGGTTGTAGTTGTCATTGTTGTTTAGCAGGCCCAGGCTGGGTTTGGACCCACCAACTCTGGTGTATGGGGCTGGCACCCTAACCACTGAGCTATGGGTGCCAAGCCTAAAATGTTTCTTTAAGAGCTATATGCCTTAAATGATTTTTTTTTTTTTTTTTTTTTTTGCAGTTTTTGGCTGGGGCTGGGTTTGAACCTGCCACCTCGGCTATATGGGGCCGGTGCCCTACTCCTTTGAGCCACAGGTGCCGCCCGGCCTTAAATAATTTGTATTGTTTGTTTTAATATACACATGTCTTAAATTAGAAAACTCTCAGTTGTTTGGATTATATTATTCTTAGTTGGAAAGAGAAAGCTACTACATAGTCATTTTTAATCATAGAATCATCTTTTGAAAAGAGAATATTTTTAAGAAAATGCTCAAGTAAAGCAACTGTATACTTAAATGTTGGTGTTACTCTTGAAGCAGTTAATTTTTCCATTCATTCATTTAGCAAATAATTATTAAGAGCCTAGATATTTTTTTCTAGGTTTATTATACTATAATTGACAAAAATTGTATATGAAGTCAGATGCGGTGGCTCATGCCTATAATTCTGGTACTTTAGGAAGCCAAGATGGGAACACTGCTTGAGTCTAGAACTCTGAGACCAGCCAAGGCAACATAGCAAAACCCTGTCTCTACAAAAAATAGAAAAAAATCAGCTGAGCAGGGGGGCAAATGCCTGTATCCCGGTTATTAAGGAGGTAGGAGGATTATTTGAGACCAAGAATTTGAGGCTGCGATGAACTAAGATCACACCACTGCACTCCAACCTGGGTGACAGAGCGAGACCCTGTCTCTTAAAAAAAATTATGTTTATGGGGGTACAACATGATGTTTTGATATATGTATACATTGTGAAATGATTGCTCCAATCAAGCTAATTAATGTATCACCTTACATTATCCTTTTTTCATGAGAATCTTTAAGATATACTCTTAGCAATTTTCAAATATGTAACACATTGTTATTAGGTCTGGTCAGCATGCTGTACAGTCTCCAAGGTGCTTAGTTTATAAGGGAATGGCCAGCACACTGTACCCTATGACTGCATTAATGTACACAGCTATGTTTTAATTAAAAAAAAAAGTTTATAAGGGAATGCCAGTGATTTTTCACATTTAATGTATTAACTCTACATTCACCATTTGAAATAATAAGAACTCCACATTCTTTTTTTTTTTTTGTAGAGTCAGAGTCTCATTTTATTGCCCTCAATAGAGTGCTGTGGTGTTACACAGCTCACAGCAACCTCCAACTCCTGGGCTTAGGCGAGTCTCTTGCCTCAGCCTCCCAAGTAGCTGGGACTACAGGTGCCCACCACAATGCCTGGCTATTTTTTTGTTGCAGTTTGGCTGGGGCCAGGTTCAAACCTGCCACCCTCGTATAAGGGGCTGGCGCCCTACCCACTGAGCTATAGGTGCCACCCAGGACTCCACTTACTTATGTGGAGCTTAAATTTCACATGGTGCTTTCATATTAACTCTCTTCTGATACTTGATTTTTATGCTTTTTGGTACTTTTTTAAAATCCGAAATTAATCTGATTCCTCCTTTTTTAAATAGGATGGGAAAGTATTCACATTTGGGGACAATAGCTCTGGACAGCTGGGATACAGCACCACTGCTGAGAACAGAGGTCCACAGCTTGTGGAAAAAATTGATGGCTTCGTTTCACAGATAGACTGTGGAAGGTAATAGGCTACATATATATTTTTAGAATGGGTTGAAAGTATTTTATTACTTAGGAATGATTCCTATGGAACGTTATGAAGTCTTAAAACTCTGAAATACATGGCTGCTCTTTTATAGAGCATTTTTCCTTTCTGGAAATTTACTTCTTTCAAATATGGTAAATACAAATATAGAGAAATATAAATTTCTTTATCCTACACATTGTTTTTATTTAATAAAAAAATATTGGACGTGTACTGTACCACGTATATAGACCACCTTGCTACATGCTGCAGGATGGGGTGGGAGTTGGTAACGAAAACAGTGGTGCTTACCAGCTTTATCTGATAAGACAAAATTAATCTCAAGCACATAGAAGAAAATGTATATTTGCATATGTACCAGAGTTTTGCATAACCATATTATGGCTACACTTTGAGTATTTGAGACCCAATGCATTAAAAGACACATAAAAACTGTTTGCATTTAAAACACGAATGATACAGATCATAGTAAGGACTCACCAATAGTATTCTATTTTTAAGGTTAGTTATAAGTCAATATTCACTACCATCTGAGTAATCATGGCATTTGGTATCTGCGGACACTGACATTGTGATAAGGGAGCTGGGTACTTAGTAAAATCCAATATGCTATTTTGTGTTGAGCTACAACATTTTGTCAAAACTATGAGTACTCTGGTTTTCATTATACTGTGTTCCCTCTCTTGTAGTTATCACACTCTTGCATATGTGCACAGCACTGGTCAGGTGGTATCATTTGGTCAAGGACCACATTGCTCAAGCAATCCAGCTCGTCCAGAGGCCCTGACAGAGAACTTTGACATTAGCTGTGTGGTTTCTGCTGACGGTATGAATGATCCCACTAATTATGATTTTGTGTTCATTGATGCCACTAGATAAGAAATATTATTCAGCTTCCCTTGGAAGGATCCATAGAATGATAGTTCCCTTAGTGATTTTATTTTATTTATTTCATTATTTTTTGAGACAGAGTCTCACTCTGTTACCCTGGGTAGAGTGCTGTGGCATCATAGCTCACAGCAACCTTGAACTCTTGGGCTCAAGTGATCCTCTTGCCTCAGCCTCCTAAGTACCTGGGACCACAAGCACCTGCTACAACACCTGGAAGTTTTTCTATTTTTAGTAGAGACAGAGTCTCGCCCTTGCTCAGGCTGGTCTGGAACTCCTGAGATCAAGCAATCCACCTGCTTTGGCCTCCCAGAGTGCTAGGACTGTAGGCATGCGCCACCACACCCAGCCAAGTGTGTTTATTTTCAATCTATACATTTTGCATTTTTTAAATGCAATGACTTGGGCAGCACCTGTGGCTCAAGGAGTAGGATACTGGCCATATACCAGAGGTAGTGGGTTCAAACCCAACCCCAGCCAAAAATTGCAAAAAAAAGGAGCCTAAATGCAATGACTCTTGGAATATTTGGCAATCATTTCTAAAGAGTAATCCAAAAGAAAATCCTAAATTGATTACTTAAGCATCAATACAGTTCGCTTTTTTTTTTTTCTCTAACTTCACTGAAACTCAAAGACACTTTTAAGTGTTTAACCAAACCTCTTCTAAAGTACATCCACCTGGCTTCATTATGCAGGGCCAGAAACAACTGAAAGGCTAAGTGGATATTTAACATGTGATCTGACCCAAACTACGCTTTTATGCTGTTCATAGTCAAAATCCAATTAGGAGAGTAAAAATTGCCAATAAACAAGGATACTTGGTTTGGCCATACATTGGATAGTTGTGATTTCTAAACAAAGATTTTTGACTCTTTTAGACCTCATAGATGCTCAAGTCTTGCACATTTTTGCTGGAACATATGCCAACTTTGTGACAACTCATCAGGTATCTATTATACTTTCCGTTACTTAAAATCTTTTTCCTCTCGATTTCAGAGCAGTATCTCACACATTGTGTTATTCACATCGATTCAGATGGCTTACTAAAGCAGATCCTCTGTTGGAATGCTTTTGATAAAATATTATGTAATCCTCTCTGCTTCATTTGTCAAACTTTTAACAGATTAGACTCTTAAACTCAAAAATATTAATAAGATTAATAATGATAACAGTAATAACTAATATGAATTGCAGTCACTAGGTGTCGGGCCCCAAAGCACTTCAGAGGGATCAACATGATCAATGTTCATATCAACTCCAGTTGATATTTTCCCCCATTTTATAGATGAAAAAAATTGAGTCTCAGAAAGGCGAATTTACTGCAAGTTACACTGTTAATAGGTGGTAGAGCTTGATTCAAAACCAGGCTGTCTAACCCCAAAGCCTACACACCAACCACATCATGCTATGGTGTGTTTTTAATTGTTAACAAAGAATGTTTTATTATTCTATTTCTGAGTGGGTTCAGAACAGTTTTTATGGAAGCAAAAGCATTCATAGTTATCTTCCTAACTTGTAGTTTTCTATATTTTGGGATCATTTTAAACTTGACATCACAGAGATTCTGCTGCTATTTCCTAGGCTGGAGAACAGAGGCAAAGGTTGCTGTGCTGCCAAGAATAGTCAGGAGATTATAGTGGTGTTGCTGTATCGTAGCCACCAAGCAGCCAGTTGACACCAACTGAGCGTGTTCTGTGTATCCAGCTCTGCTCTTTGTACTTGGGGCAAAAGTGAATAATACAGATAAGATTGCCCTCACTCACAGCATTGGAACTCACAGGGAGTGCCAGACAATGAAGATGTAAATGCCAAATAAATCAGATTGTACTGCAGAGTGACAAGCACTCTAAAGAAAACAAAACGGGCGTTTTGAGATCGATGAGGTGAGCTTCTTTAGAAATGTCAGGAAAGGCCTTGCAGAAGCTGTGACATTTGAACAGAGGGGTAGCCATGCTTAGAACCAGAGAAAGAACGTCTGAGGCAGACGGAACTGCACATTGAAAGGCCCTGGGGCAAGAATAAGTTTGGTGTGTGTGACAGAAAGGCCAGCCAGACAGAACTGAGGAAGAATGAAGAGCTCCGTGAGCTGAGCTACTTGTGTAGTTGGGGTCAGTCTGAACCATCCTTGCAGAGGCAACCCAGAGAGTCAGTGGGATGTCTGTGTCCAGAGCTGGGGAGAATGTCTGCAGTGGAATGGAAACATGGCAGCCATGGAAGGATAGGTGGTGCTGAAGACCGAAGGCCTGGGGGAAAGCTCACCCAGAGAGAGAGTGAAAACGAGATGACAAAATCAAGCCCCAGGGGACGTCTCCATGAGAGGTCAGGCAGTGAAGAAGGAGCCAGAGAGGGACGCTGAGAAGGACCAGAGGGAGGAGAGAACTGGAGGGTGACTCAGCAAGCCAAGAAGAGAAAGTTCTGTGTGGTAGCTGCCCCTTATCCAAGGTTTCACTCATTGTTTGAGTCACCCACACTCAGCTCAGTTTAGAGACCCTGATCCAGGGCGTGTGTGCCTGATGTGGAGAAGAGGACAAGGGTGGAGATGAAATTACAAACTGGGAGATGGAAGTGGGAGATAGATCGTGTTCATCACAATCTGACGTTACCAAGAATGACAAACAGCAAAGTCCCGAGGCTTCCAGTGAATGAAGGGGAGTGAGGCAGTTGATAGAAGTCTGATGTCTGCTGTGCACTTTGGAGCAGCTGGGGATTTTGAGGCAGAAAGTGGAGCAATGATATGAGAGCACTGGTCAGCAGCACTGGTCCTGCGTTTCCTGGGATATGGGAGGACCAAAACCTTCCTCTTGATCAAACTACAGGGGACACTCAGGACTCACATCTAGAAGCTGAAGGGAACTTTCCAAGTCATGGTTAACATTTCTTTTTCAGGAAGTCTTTCTTTCAACATTAAAGTGAGGTAGAATTTCTCAAATCCTAACAAGTTCAGTGGAGGCACAGGTATAATTTATAACACAGTACTAGCAGCGTTAGAAGACCATTGAAGATGGGTTTTTCTCTCCAGATAGTGATTTTTGGATACTCTGGCTAGCCTGTTTGGTCTCAGGTATTATAGAACCATGGTTCTCAAAGTGTGGTCTCAAAACCAGCAGCATCAGTACCACAAGGGAATTTGTTAGATGCGAATCTTTGAGGTCTACCCATGGCCCGCTGAATCAGAATTTATGGAGTCAGGGTTCAGCAACCTGTACTTTAACCACATACCAGGTGACTCTGATGCACATCAAAGTTTGAGAATCATTGGCTTGGCGCCCCTAGCGCAGTGTTTACGGTGCCAGCCACATATACCAAGGTTGGCAGGTTCAAACCCAGCCTGGGCCAGCTAAAACAACAATTGACAACTGCAACAAAAAAATAGCCCAGCATTGTGGTGGGCGCCTGTGGTCCCAGCTACTTGGGAGGCTGAGGCAAGAATCACTTAAGGCCAAGAGTTGGAGGTTGCTATGAGCTGTGACGCCAAAGCACAGGGTAACATAGTGAGACTCTGTCTCCAAAAAAAAAGTTTGAGAATCATTGATACAAATGCAAAAAATTGTGGGTGATTAAAGGGAAAAAGAAAATTACTTATTGAGTTTCTACTATAATCCAAAGTCTTTGTAACCGAATACAACTTAATCTTAACAAGAGCCCAGAGAGGTAGCTATTATCTCATTCTTTTTATTGTGGTAATATATGTATACATAACATACAGTTTCCCATTTTAACCATTTTTAAATATATAATTTAGTGATTAATTACATTCACAGTGTTGTTCAACTCACACCAGTTGCCATCCCCAAAACTCTTCATCACCCCAAGCTGAAACTCTGTAATTATTATTATTATTATTATTTTTTGAGATGGAGCCTCAAGCTATCCCCCTGGGTAGAGTGCTATGGCATCACGCTCACAGCAACCTCCAATTCCTGGGCTCAAGCGAGTCTCCTGCCTCCGCCTCCCAAGTAGCTAGGACTACAGGCACCTGCCACAACGCCCAGCCATTTTTTGGTTGCAGCCATCATTGTTGTTTGGTGGGCCCGGGCTGGGGATTCGAACCTGCCACCTTAGGTGTATGTGGCTGGTGCCTTAGCTGCTTGAGCCACAGGCGCTGAGCGTGAAACTCTGTAATTATTAAATAATAATTCCCCATTTCCCTCTCAGCCTCCGCCCTGGGTAACCTCTATTTTACTTCTGTCTCTATCAACTTGCGATTCTAGATACTTTGTATAAGTGGAATCATACAATATTTGTCATTTTGAGTCTGGCTTATTTCACTCCACATGTCTCCGAAATTTATCCATGCGGTAGCATGTATCAGAATTGAATTCCTTTTTAAGGCTGAATAATATTCCATTGTAAGCACATAGTTTATCCATTGGTCTGTTGGTGGACTTGGGTAGTTGCCATCTTTTGGCTATTGAGAATAAGGCCCCAACGAATGTTGATTTACAAGTATCTGTTTGAGGCCCTGTTTTCAATTCTTTTCTGTTATCCCATTTTAATAAGTGACAAAATGAAGGTTCAGACCAAGTCAGGTGGCTCAGGCTGGGAAGTGTGGCGCCAAAATTCTTCCTACCAAAGGCCCCTCCCCCCAGCTGAGAGGGCGGGGCCTATCACCACCACACCCAATACGATGCTCGTGGTATTGTTACTTTAGCAGGTCTCTGCCTTCCTGATTGTTCTTGTTTCTTACTTCCTTGAAGGATACTAGTTCCATAGACCATTCCAGAAAACCTCTGCCAGAAATAAGCCGGATCAGTCCATCCATGCCGGAAAAATGGATGGCCGTGAAAAGAGGAAGTTCTCAACATGAAACCGCTAAAAGGTGGCTGTGTCTGATAAAGTATAAACTGCTTTTATAATAAAGTAAAAAGGAGCCATGCTTTATAGTATGTCGTGGCTTAACCCTTGTTTTTCTTTTTTGCAGTGAAATTAGAACAATATTTTCATCTCCTGCTTGTCTGACTGCCAGTTTTTTAAAGAAAAGGTAATACTTATATAAGGTTTACCTTCATTTAAAACACTGGGGAATATTTAAAATGAAATGTTTCTAGTTGGTTTAATTTGTGAATTTTGTTACTATTTATGATAAGTCCAAAATAGACAATTCTGTAAGTTATAGAATTCTTCCATTCTATAAAATGAATTTCTATGAGACCACATTGTTTGCTTCCTCCACACTGCCTTGCACATTATCTGATTAGAAGGAATGGCATTTTTTGAGGATGTCTGTATCTACAAGTGATAAGCTAAATCTAACATTGCATTAGTACTTAGAAGCCAATAGTACACTTTGGAATTCTTATTGTGTGAGATTAGTATAGAAAATAAATCTTATTTATTTTGTCTTTAACTCACTGCTACTGGGGAAAATCTAATTTTACTCCCATTTGGTTTAACACTTGGTCTGATCCAACAGTTCTAATAATTCCTTGCATGATGGTCTTCTATGATGGCTCAGTATGTGGTCTTCTATTTCTGCCCCTTCTTTCGAGCTCTCCAATATGGCACCTGGTTGTAAAAGGGAGGAATCGGAGTGTAGAGGGTTTCTAGGCTGCTCTCTGCCTTCTCTGGAGGCTGGAGCCCTGCTGATCTGCCTGCAGCAGGTCTTATCCCGGCCCTCGCTAACTGCACCTCAAGTTTGCCCACTGATCAGAAGATGGGGGTACACATCTTGCCCACTCCTGGCTACTGGGTGGTACTCAGTTAACCCATGTTGCAATTGCTTGCTCCTCCCCAATCCCCACCCATTCCGCTGTTTCTAGCCCATCTGCATTCTAATTACAAAATAAATAAAGAATTTCTTCTGATCAGCCTGGGGGAGTAGAGGAGCTGCTGGATCCCGACAACTTCACTGCCACTGGCTAATCCTTACTTTCTAAAGTGGGAAAGTATCCTTGCTCACAGATGCCAAAGGCAGCAAAGGAGAATTGATTGTAAAGGGAAGCTGATGATACTTTGTTTTAGTGTTTAAATATTTTAGCCCTACTATTACTATTGATCAGTTAATCCAACAAGCACTAAATATTTCTAGATAATGCATTATTTAACAAAAATTGGTGTGCTTGTCACACACTGGCTCCTGGAATATTACCAAAGTAGCTTGTTGAAAAGATCAGCCAAGGAGAACACCACACCTGGACAGAGCTGTGGTAGTGTTTCTGAGAGGGATGACCAGGTCAGAACTTACTGAGAACTGAAAGTTTGGCTTAGGACAAGTCATTCGGTGTGGGAGAGGGAGGCTGGTGACTTGATTAAGTAAATAATTGGGTCGGTTGGGTAAATATACAACAATCTGTGACCAGTGGAAAGAGTGAAACAGGGTTTTGAGGTTAGGGATTCATAGAATCTTCAGGCACCAGCTATCTGTTGAAGCATTCCATTGAGGAACTACTGGATCTTTCAGGAAATTCCTATAATGAATAATCAAGCCATTTGCAGCAAAGCTTTTTGGAATCGTAAAGACAAGCTAATGAAAACTAAGAAATTGCAGAGTTATGTAAATATGAATAATAAGGAATATATGCATGGTAGGTAGCTTCAGTTCTCAGTATGCAAGCTGAATGTGGTGGTAGATACTTTCAGTTCTTAGACCTCAGCATATAAATTTTTGCTAGTCTTCTACACAGGAGGCTGTTGTTTGAGCCCAGGAGTTCAAGGCTACAGTGAACTATGATTGTACCACCGCATTCCAGCCTGGGTGACAGAGCAAGACCCCATCTCTTAAAATAATAAAAGTAAAAAATTACTAATATTGCAGCCCAAATGATATAGCTACTGTAGAGATAATAAATTGTAGCCTACTCTCTTTTAACAAGGAGAATGTTGATAAATGTTTTTAACTTTACAAATATTTTTAAGTTTATAAATGTTTTTATGTTATTTTGAAAGGAGGCAAGCTTTAAGAAAAAAGTCTGCATCTTATATGTAATAAAATAAAACAACAGGCTCAGCGCCTATGGCTCAAGTGGCTAAGGCGCCAGCCACATACATCTAAGGTGGTGGGTTCGAATCCAGCCCAGGCCTGCCAAACAACAATGATGGCTGAAACCAAAAAATAGCCGGGCGTTGTGGCGGGCACCTGTGGTCCCAGCTACTTGGGAGGCGGAGGCAGGAGATTCGCTTGAGCCCAGGAGTTGGAGGTTGCTGTGAGTTGTAATGCCACAGCACTCTACCCAGGGGAATAGCTTGATGCTCTGTCTAAAAATATAAAAAATAATAAATAATAAAACAACAAATGACATGAGAAATTTAGAAATATCCCTTTTCAGGCCAGTTAAGGTGGCTCATGCCTGTAATCCTAGCACTCTGGGAGGCCAAAACCAGCCTGAGTAAGAGTGAGACCCTGTCTCTACTAAAAATAGAAAAACTGTGATAAGAGGCTCCACTTGAGCCCAAGAGTTGGAAGTTACTGTGAGCTATGATGACGCCATGGCACTCTACCCAGGGCGACAGCTTGAGACTCTGTTTCAAAACAAAAAAGAAAGAAAGAAATATCCCTTCCATCTGTCTGTCTACTTATGTCTCTATCTATTTATTTATTTATTTATTTTGTATTTCTTGTATCAAAAGAAAACCTGGAGAAATGGGATCCATTGATGTGAACTTACAGATGGCAAGAGCTACCTTCAAGAAGTTAACAAGAACGGAATGGATTTTCTCCATGGTAATAGCTGATACCTACCTGAGAAATAGAAAAATAGAATTTCTTTACAGAAACAAATGTGATTACAGTTTGATTTTGTTGAGCATTGGGTAAGAGGGGACTATGATTGGGGCTGGAGTTAGTATACATAAGTGCTATTTATTATGAAGTTATATTCCAGGTTCTTTATGTGGTGCTAGCATTTTTTTTAGTCAAACCCTTAAATGTTTAATAGATTCAAGATTTTTATTTCTCACATTTTTTATTCTCATATTTCAATATGAGAAAATTAATGCTTGAGAGGTAGATATTGTCTAGCACAATGTTTGAAAGAGCGTGGGTTTAGGAAGCAAGATAACCTTATCCTGCAGGAAGAGATAAGCTTGTTCTCAATTTCGAGGTGAATTTCTGTTATGAATTCATCCTTTCTCTTTTGGTCACATTTTCTTTGCTTGTCAGTTGAGTTCACCTTTAAAATATATTCCAATTTAATATTTTATGATTCTAGGTTTCATTGGAAGGAAAACTTTTTCTCTGACAACTTAGGTTTGAGCGTGAGAAACGGGCCTGCAAATTAATAGATTAACTGGATGTGTTAGTACTTTTGAGCTGCTATAACAATACCATAGATGAGGAGGCTGAAATGGTAGGCATTTATTTTTCACAGTTCTGGAGGCTAGGAAGTCCAAGAACAAGGTGCCAAGCAGTTCAAATCTGGTCAGGGTCTGCTTCTTGGTTCAGAGATGACCATATTTTCACTGTGTCTGCACATGGCAAGGGCAAGGACTCTCTCTGGAGCCTTTTATGAAGAGCACTAATCCCATTCGAGAGGGTTTCACCCTTGTAACCTCAGCACTTACCAAAGACACCACCTCTTGATATCATCACGCGGGGGGTTAGTATTTTAACATGAATTTCAAGTGAACACATTCAGCCTATAGCCCAAGAGAAAAGAAAACAAATTTATTCACTGGCATGTGAGAGCATTCAGATGATGAGGCATCATGAACTGCTATGGATAAGGGTTTATACCAACTTAATGCAGGAAAGGGAGTGGAGGAGAAAGGGCTTCTTCGGGAAGGCTTCTTTCTACATTAGCTGTATCTCAAATGTCTTCAGTTTCAAATAGTCTACCATTTTGGTGGGTCTGAGTGGGGCCCTACACTCAGGAAAAGGGGAAAAGTATTTCTTTTTTTTTTGAGACAGAGTCTCACTATGTCATCCTCGGTAGAATGCCCTGGCATCACAGCTCACAACAACCTCTAACACTTAGGCTTAAGCGATTCTCTTGCCACAGCCTCCCAAGTAGCTTGGACTACAGGCGCCCACCACAATACCTAGCTATTTTTGTTGCTGTTGTTGTTGCAGCTGTCACTATTGTTTAGCAGGCTCGGGCCGGGTTTGAACATGCCTACCTGGTGCCTTAACCCACTGAGCTACAGGCGCCACAAAATCAAGGATTTTATGATGTCATACACTAAAAGAAATCTAACTTTTGGACCCTATTTTTCTTGGAGTTATTTTCCCACATGCCACCTACTGGCATTCCACAGAAATCGTGTTCTGCTAGACATGAAAAAAAGATGTAAGAATATTAATGTAATAAAAACAGTATATTGTACTTCACAGCTTATCCTTGCATAGATCACCTTATTTAAAATCCTTATGACCTGTAGAAGCAAACACTAGAATTAAAGGAGTGTAGATCTATTCTGTAGAATAAATATGCTGGCTGCTATAAACAAACAGCTTCCAAAGCTCAGTGACTTCATACGGTAAAGATACTCCCATATCCTCTCAACAAGCATTGGAGGTCAGAGGCACCTGTATACTGGTGCATTCATGGGTGACTCAGGCTTCTTTTTTCCAGAGTCTCTAGGCCTTGGGGCTATAAAATCCTCCTCTGGATCTTTCCTGTTGGTTGACAGATGAGGAAAGAAAAAGAGTATGGGAGTCCACTGAGGATTTCAGTGGCCATGCCTGCACGTAACATTCACCTTCAGCCACATAGGGGAGCTCAGACTCAGTCAGGTGGCCCCACTGACTACAGGGGACGCCAGGGAATGCTATCTTGCTGACAGTGGACTTCAGGTTCTTTGTCCCTGAGTCAACAGAAATTGACACAACACCAGAAAGATTAAGGTGGGCAAGGTTTTTACTGGAGCTTTTTGGTTAAACAGAAAGGGAGACAGTGCTGGTTACTGGGGCAGCCACACTAGCTCTCTGAACAAAGGACCAGGGAACTTCTATGAGGTTGTAAAGAGGAAGGAGGAAGTGCAGACTTTGAAGTTGTCACACGTGGAGGTGGGGTTCTGTTGGCAGCTGTGTGCTTGGTGGTCATGCTTCGGCATGTATTACATGGATTACTTGCATTTTAAATCTTCACCCTGGCTCGGCGCCTATGGCTCAAGTGGCTAAGGCGCCAGCCATGTACACCCAAGGTGGCAGGTTCAAATCCAGCCTGGGCCCGCCAAACAACAATAACAGCTACAACCAAAAAATAGCCAGGTGTTGTGGCGGCGCCTGTGGTCCCAGCTACTCAAGAGGCTGAGGCAGGAGACTCGCTTGAGCCCAGGAGTTGGAGGTTGCTGTGAGCTGTGATGCCACTGCAGTCTACCCAGGGGGACAGCTTGAGGCTCTGTCTCAAAAAAAAAAAAAAACCTTCACCCTGGGCATGATTTGTAGCATTAAATAAGATCACAATAAGGAAAAATTCAGGTTAAGCTCAAGCTGGGGTTCCTTTCTTCTAAGGCAGTTAGATCCAGGTAGGTCTAGTTTCTTTGCAGCCAGGTTCCTAACCAGCTGGCGTCAGCATCTTGCTTCAGTGGATGCAACGGAGGACACTACTCGAGAGACAGCCTAGGAAGGGAGACAGGCTGCCCCACTTACACGGGTGTGGGCTAAATTCCAGTGGCTAGGAGGTCGCTTGTTTTATCCCCTTCTACAGTTACTTAGGCTGGGCCATCCTGCCCTGCACTGCCTCTGTTGGTCAGGAATGAGGCCCAAGTCCTGTCCCTGTAACTGTCTCATTCCTGTGGCTGCAGGAGGAAAATGAGACAGGATTGGGGAGGTGAACCTATGGCGTTTTCTCTGCCGTGGTAGAGACGTAGGTATGGATCCCTGATCTGTCATCTTCTAACTGAATGACCTCCTTCCCCTGACTTCCTCTGAGTCTTTTCTTCCTTGTCTGTGAAAACAAGGTTAAAAACAAAGCAAAGCAACTTTACAGGGTTGTTAACAAGATTAAATGACATGATTTACATGAGGTCTCCTGCTGCATGGTAAGTGCTCAGTGAATGTTCAAACAAATAGAAAGAGCACCGTACCAATTATTCCCAGTGCTATGTTTTTCATATGTTTAGACGTTTACCTCTGGGTGCAATAAATAGTATAAAAATTCAGAACTATTTCTGCTCTGAAAATGTTCTAGTTACATACAAGAACACAGAAAAGAAGGGAAGCAATGGATGGGGTACGGTGTGTGTGTGTGAGGGTAACAGCACCCCCTTTTAGAAGGAGGAGTACCAGTGTAACCTGTAGACAGTATGCTTTCGGCAGGCTTGGTTTTAGTTTTAAATCCATGCACATGTGATTTTGCCCTATTTCCTTCAGGCTGCCCAATGTAACATGGGGAGGACGGTTCTCACGGACTGCCTCAGGGGCACTTGGGATGGAAGGAGTGACGGCATTTCATCAACAGGTTTCAAAATGACTAAATGACTATTCCAGTTCAAACGTGGTGGAATGAAAGGCCTTGTCCCACGGCTTGTTTCTCATGATTCTCTGTATCTAATATATCCTGAATCTTTCCCTGGCCCTGTTTTGACCACAGGTAACTGAGTGTCTCAAGGATGGGCTGCTCAGGGCTCTTCCATGCCGTTCTCCACACCGAGAGGCTCTGTCGGTTTTCCTGCTGCTCCCAGAGTGTCCTGTGATGCATCATTCTGATAACTGGAGGAGCCTGGTGATTCCATTTGCAGTGGCTGTTTGTAAAATGAGTAACCAGTCTTCACAAGTCCTGAGTAAGTCTTATGTCGTTTTATCTGTACTCTCTCTCTCTTTTTTATGTTTTTAGAAATTATTTATTGCAAACATTTATAATTTTCACTTTAAATGCAACGTAGCTGGTTAAAAGGAAAAACATTGTAAAATATACCACATTGGCACTTTGCCCATATACAGACATCAGCCTTTGGTATTTGCTTTCAGGTAATTAGATTTAAAAAAAAAAAAGAAAGAAAGAAAACAGAACAAACAAACAAAAAAAAACTTAAAACTATCATTTCTCCTCAAGCAAACAGCACAGAGTTGAGGTATTCTATTTAGCAGACATGATTGCCATCCAGTAGGGACTATCAGTTAACAGTTTGCTACATGCTGTTCCAACCCTTTCCTTCTAAAGTAGTTCTTAGAAAACAGTGTTCCTTAATAATCACTGAGGTTGCCATGGAGACCCCTGGTGCTGGCACCCACCACACTGAGGATAGGAGGCTGGAAGGACCTTTAGGGGACACTCAGGAGCATGTGGCCCAGGTGGCCTGGTTGGCCTGCCCTGCCCCAGCAGCCTGCTGCCAATAGCTACATAGGACACTGGGCATGGGGCTCAGGCCCCAGTGGACCATGGGTTACCCGCCATGTCTCCAAATTAAGACAATTTGTCATCAACTCCCCCTGGAGCTGGATGTTAGCACCCTCCCTAGCTGGGTCGGCCTTAAGGCCCTACAGTGAGATGACACAGCTCAGCTGTGCAGAGCTTTCCTGAACATTCTCCAGAAAACCCACAAACCACACGCACACCCAGCCTGCCCCACTGGGCCGTTTTCTCCACCAAGTGGACCCGCTGCCTAGCTCTAACAGCAGGCTCTGCACCGTGTCATCATGACCAGTTTCCTTTCTCCCAGGGCAGCAGAGACCTCCGAGGACTCAGGGTGAGCTCAGAGTCTAGTGAACAAAGCACCAGGGCACAGAGCAAAGAGGTCTCAGGTTTACCAAATGCCTCACATGTATCCAATGCTGAATATATCTTTGAAATATCTTTGAACTATTTCTTTAATGCGTCAAGAATTAATGAGATCACTTTAATTTTTAGACCTTGAACCACATAGTTTTTGCTTTTCCTACCCAAAAAGGTAAGTTGTCATGCTTACTCTAAATTGTCTCTGTGCTGACATTTCCCATCCAGCTGTGTGGCGGACAGTGGCAGGTGAGAGGTGAGCCACTATACTCTCAATACAGAGTCACTGTCGGAAGTAGAAGTTTTAGCAAATGTTAGGGAATTTCAAAATACACAAGTATTTGAATATGTAAATATTCATATGATTGAATATTGATTTGTGTATGATTAAAAAGATTAACCTAAAGCTACTATAATCGTTATTCTTATCACGCACAGCAGATGTGGTTCTTAGGTTTGGCTGTGGCTTTGCCATTAGAGTTTGATAATTACAGAGTATTCTATTAAAATAAATTCATACTTTTTTTTTTTTGGAGACAGAGTTTTACTTAGTCGCCCTCGATAGGGTGCTGTGACATCACAGCTCACAGCAACCTCCAATTGTTGGGCTTAGGTGATTCTCTTGCCTCAGCCTCCCAAGCAGCTGGGACTACAGGCACCCGCCACAATGCCCGGCTATTTTTGTTGCAGTTGTCACTCTTGTTTTAGCTGGCCGGGGCCAGGTTCAAACCTGCCACCCTCTGTATATAGGGCCAGAGCCCTACCCAGTGAGTCATAGGTGCTGCCCAATAAATCCATGCTTTAAAACTTTTTTCTGTTTTGGAGACAGAGTCTCATTATGTTGCCCTCAACAGAGTGTTGTAGCATCACAGCTCACAGCAACCTCAAACTTTTGGGCTTAGGCGATTCTCTTGCCTCAGCCTCCCAAGCAGCTGGGACTACAGGTGCCTGCCACAATGCCTGGCTATCTTTTTTGTTGCAGTTGTTATTGTTGTTTGGCAGACCTAGGCTGTGTTTGAACCCACCAGCTCTAGTGTATGTGGTTGGCACCCTACCTGCTGAGCTACAGGCACCAAACCATACTTCAAAACTTTTTGTTTATATTGCCTTAAAACTAGAGATATTTTGATCAGAGGTTATGAAAAACGAATGTTAAACTTTTTGTTTTTATTGTTTATTTTATTCAATACTATGAAATGTTCTCTTACGATTTTCAGCTAATGTTAGAAAGTCCAGGGATTACCCAGTAACCCAATGGGGTACAGATGTTGATATACCGTTACATAGGGGAAGAGGTAGGTAGAAATGTAGACAGTTCTTATGAGGGGTAGTAAATGATTATTAGGGAGAACGAAAATGATTCTCTTTAGAATTTGAATGAGCCTGCGAAGCAGACATTATCTTTTGACACCAGTGCCTCCAGAAGTGGTTACATCCTTCAGTCTTCTTTATTATGACAGATAATGAAATTTTAGGGAGACAGCGAAAGGTAATTTTCTTCTCTTTTGTGGGTCTAGTACTAAGCTAGATAAAGGAATATCAGAAAAAAGCCACAGTGGCTTATACCTATAATCCCAGTACTTTGAGAGGCCAAGGCAGGAGGATCCCTTGAGGCCAGGAGTTCAAAATGAGCCTAGTCAACACAGTAACAGCCCTGTCTCTAAAAAAAAATTTAAAAATTAACCAGGCATGGTGGTGTGTACCTGTAGTACTAGCTACTCAGTGGGCTGAGGTGGGAGTCCAGGAGTTTGAGGTTACAGTGAGGAATGATGATGCTACTGCACTGTAGTCTGGGCAACAGAGCAAGACCTTGTCTCAAAACAAAAACAAGACAGAAAGAAAAGAGTCTCTTGCAGTTGACTTGCTATTGACCTTCAAGGGCCTTTAATTTAAAGTGATAAGCACACCAGGGTACCATGTTTTGGGGTGAAATTCTCTGGGCTCCTTTACTAAAGTAGAGAGGACATGTACAGTGAAATATAAGCCACCCAGTCCCCCTCCCTGCTGCATCAGCCAACTGAGGACAAGTGGTTTGAAGGGAAGGAAAGAGAGGTCTATTCATTTGCTGGGAAATGAGGAGGATGGAAACTCTTGTCTTAAAACGCCATCATTCTAACTATAAGCAGAAAAACAGACCTTTTCCCGGAGGGGTTTCAGCTTCACGCTCTTGCTGTTTAACTCTAGTTGATGGCTGTGATTCATCCCATTTCTGGAGAAGACAATCTCATGACCCTGGGACAATTCCAGTGCCTTCTTTTGTGGTACAAAGAACAAAAAAAAAACTCCCTTGCCCCTCTAATTTACTAGTCTTGGTCAGAGATGCAGGTGTTAATTCCTAAAAGAGTGTGTCTTGTGTGGTGGTGGTGGTGGGGGGAGATTTTAAAGAAACAATGCTTAAAACATTTTATTCTTTTTCAAGCTGTTACCTCTGCTACTGTTATAGATTACTATTTCTTGTGTAACCTTCTAAAGATATTCTATATATGTAAGCATATAGAAATTGTCAATAGGAAAGAATCTTAACTCTGTAGAATAATTTAAAGAAGTTTGAGTCAAACACACGTGACTGCATCTAAGAGCCACACCCCTTAGCCTCGAGCAAGTGGTCCTGCTGTGTGGTTGGGGTAAAGTCTGGTTTTATAAAGTCATAAATAAATACATGAAAGGCATATATTGGTCTGGCCCTAAAAGGCAGGACATCAGGAAGTGAGGGGATTACAGGTTATAAGGTAGGTTTAAAGTTTTGGATTTGTAATTGGTTAAAGAAATGAAGCTTTATCTAAAGGTCTGGAACATTTTAAATTAAGGTAAGTAAGTCTGTTAATCAAAGACAAGTCAGCAGACATATACCGAAATGTAAGTAAATTGCTGGTCTGCAGGCAATGGCCTGCAGGTGTGCACTAAATGCTTTCTTGCATAGCCTTAGGCTTATTAATGATTTAGTATCTAGTTTTAACAAAGAATAACTCCAAAAGGGACAGGGCATAACCAAGCAGGTCTGAACACCCTTCTCCTCCTGGCAGGCAACTCAGCTTGAAGGTTTTTGGAGAGATGGTTCCATTAAGTCAGCTGGTGGGGGGGCTTCAGAGTTTAGTTAACAAAATGTATTTTTTCATTTTTAATGGTAGCATACCATTCTAATTCTTCTTCAGAATCTCACTTTCCCTGATTTAACTATATATCATGGAGATTATTCCTTTACAGGACCTATTAAACTGTCTCATTCTAACCAATGACTGAAGAGTATTCTATTGGGAAGATGTACTCTGGATAGCTGTTCCTACCCTTTTGCTATTATAAATATGACAGTGCTGGCATGCATTTCTTTATACATATATAAATTTACCCATGTGGGAAAAATTCCAGAAGCACAATCACTGGATCAAATCGTATGTGCATTTTTGAGATATTTTGCCAAATCACTCTCCACAGAGACCAGGGTCATGTCACCCACCTTTAAGTGGACACCATTCACACTATAGTCCATGTTAACTATATCCTGGGGTCAGACAATATGGTGACTCTGACAAATTGAGATGTATCAATTTATATTTAATCAATAAATATGGATGTATCAGCCTACATACTTTGAAACAGTTTTATCAGACTTTGATCTTTGCTACTGGAAGGGTCTCTTAATTTTAACTTGAATTTTTCTTATTATTGTAACAGAAATAAGGTCCTCAAAGAGTGTAAAATGTATTACAAGTTGTCTCTTTAACCCATACTCTTACTAAAATTTGTATTGTATCGATTTTGTGTTTAAGTCTTTGATCTAATGAGTTTATCTTGGTTAAACATTATTTTTTTCTAGATTAATTCCAATTGTCCTTACCCATTTATTGAATATGTTTCATTCTCACTAATATGTACTATTTCCTTTATTACATACTAAAGTCTCATGTGTATTTGGATCCATTTATAGAATCTCTACTTAATCTTTTTTTCACATATGTGTGTAATACTATTTTAATTACATCAGTTTGAGAGTGTATTTTAACATTTAATAGATGTTTTCTGAAAATAGTCCTTTAAAGGTACCAAAATTCAAGTTGTAATCTCAATAATATTAAAATATAGTTACTAGCTATTTTGAAAAGTACCATATATATTCATATCTGTTACATGTTCATAAAATCTGAAAATGTAGATAATATTCTTTCAGCTTTTACGGATTAAAAATGTCCTTGATGACAGTGTGTATGTGTGTGTGTATTTTCACCTATCACATTTCAGGCTTTATAGGTACTCTGTAAAATTGTCAGTTCAAAAATTATGAAATCTATCCATTAAGCATAAATGTGAACCTTCAACAAATTTCTTTAACTCCTGAATTTGAGCTTTTAATTCTAATGGTACTCAATCAGGGAAAAAAATGTTTCCACATTTGTGAGTAATAAGTGTTGTCCAAATCTTAGAAAAGATATTTTATGGCTTATGCCATCAGACATGGGAACTATTATTTATTTCTTACATTAAAGAATGCAGTAGAAACGGAGTGATTTGGGGGACAGGAGGAAAACCATATTTACCATGACTGATTTTATACCCCTCAGAGAAGTGCTGGGCATCTTTGGAAGAATCTTCTCTGCAGAGGCTGGTTCAGATGCTTAAATCCGCTATTGTCTCTCAGCTGTGCAATTGGACTGACGTGATCGTCAGTCAGCAAGATGATAACATCAAAGCTCTTCTAGGAATGATGAAAGAAATCCATAAGGTAAGGCTTCATCCGAAGGAATGGATATACCACTCCAGTAAATCAAAATCCCCTAAGTCTCAGCCAACTGGAATTTTAAGAAGTCAAATAAAAATCATGAGTCAATTTTTTCTTAAGTAATGTGTAAAAGGGAAAAGTATGTCCTAAAATAATTAGGGATTTTAAAAGTGGGAAATTATGAAGACTTAAGATGTCTTACCATGGATTTTTTTTTTGAGACAGAGTCTCACTCTGTCACCCTCGGTAGAATGCTGTGGTGTCATAGCTCACAGCAGCCTCAAACTCTTGGGTTCAAGTGATCCTCTTGCCTCAGCCTCCCAAGTAGCTGGGATTATAGGCAGCCACCACAACACCCAGCTAGTTTTATGGACTTCTTTCATTAAGAAAATGTATGCTGCCGAGTGTGGTGTTTGACACCTGTAGTACTAGCACTCTGGGAGGTCAAGGCAGGTGGATTGCCTGAGCTCAAGAGTTCAAGACCAGCCTGAGCAAGAGCCAGACTTTGTCTCTTAAAAAAAAATAGCCAGGAGTTGCGGTGGCCACCTATAGTCCCAGCTACTTGGGGCTGAGATAAGAGGATCATTTGAACCAAAGAGTTTGAGATTATTGTGAGCTATGACACCATGGCACTCTACCCAGGAGGGCAAAATGAAACTCTGTCTCAAAAAAAAAAAAAATGTATGCTAGGCCAGGAGTGATAGCTGACACCTATAATTATAGTACTCTGGGAAGCCCAGGTGGGTAGATACCCTCAGTTCAGGAGTTCAAGTCCAGCCTGAGCAAGCTTGAGACCCCATCTCTAAAAATAGCCAGACATTGTACCTGCTGCCTGTAGTCCCAGCTACTGCTGAGACTGAGGCAAGAGCATCTCTTGAGTTTGAGGGTGCATTGAGCCAGTAGTCCCAGCTACTGTGGAGACTGAGGCAAGAGCATCTCTGACTTTGAGGTTGCTATGAGCCAGAAGTCCCTACTACTTGGGAGGCCCTTGAGCCAGGCAGCTCACTTCTGTAATCCTAGCACTTGGAAGGCCAAGGTGGGTGGATTCTCTGAGCTCACAGGTTCGAGACCAGCCTGAGCCAGAGTGAGACCTTGTCTCTATAAATAGCCGGTGCCTGTAGTCCCAGCTACGTAGGAGACTGAGGCAAGAGAATTGCTTGAGCCCAAGAGTTTGAGGTTGCTGTGAGGTATGATGCCACAGCACTGTACCAAGGGGGACAAAGTGAGACTCTGTCTCAAAAAAACAATAGTGTGTGTGAGAGTAATAATATTTATCACTTAATACAGAAAATGAATTTGTCAAAAGTAACTTGGATTTTTATTCTTAAGATCTAGAAAGCATTTCCAGTAAACCAATGCTCTAAGAATTGGTTTACTAATACCAACTGCCAGTATCTTATTTTTGACAATATTTCTTTATGAAAATTGAAGAAATCATAGGTCAGAAAATAGTAACTTTATAGAACTCTTCCTTATCATTGATAAATATTTTCAGGTTAAAGAGTTCCATTTTGATTATCTGTTTGATAGCCATGTCGTATAAATGATACATTTAATCATTTATTGATAGAAAATGACATTCACAGGTCATATTCTCTTTCAGGTAAACAAAGTGAACTGTCGACTGCCAGAAAACACTTTCAACATAAATGAACTCTCCAACTTATTGAACTTTCATTCAGAGAGAGGAAGAATGGTCCGTCGGGAGAACAACATGGTAAGAATAACATTTTTACTGGTGAAAATTTTCGTATTTTGAAGGGGGACATATTCCTGTAGTAGGTGTGTAGATACCCCTTTGAAAAATCAAGGTTTGAAAATTTCCTCCTTAGAATTATGAATTTGCGAAATTAGATGATCCTTGAAAACTTAAACATCTTTTGCTCATAAAACAAATATATTTTCTTGGAAATCTGTTTCTAAATTAATTTGGGTTTTTAAAAACATTCCAAAAAGTATAGAGAGAACCCTAGCACTTTGGGAGGCTGAGACAGGTGGTTTGCCTGAGCAAGGGTGAAACCCCTGTCTCTATTCAAAGTAGAAAAACCATCAGGGCATTGAGCAGGTGCTTGTAGTCCCAGCTATGGGGGAGGTTGAGGCAGGAGGATCACTTCAGCCCAGGAGTTTGAGGTTGCTGTGATCTATGGTGCCACTGCACTTGAGCCCAGGCACAGAGTGAGACTCTGTCCCCACCCTCCCATAAAGTATAGAGAGAAATAATTTAAGGTGATGAAGTAAAGGAATGACATGTTTTCCTTGTTTTTAATTATTGAACCTATTATCTCCGTTTGCTTTTAGCTCCCGGAAGAAAACCGCAGTCCTATTATTTTCAGTGATTTTCCATTTATCTTTAATTTGCCATCTAAAATTAAATTATTCCAAGCTGATGCACTGATCAAGAGGCTGGTATGTACGCCCTACCTTTTTATTATGAAAAAATTTCAAGCATATATAAAATAGAGATAATGGCGTAATGAGCCCTGCCACCAAGATTCAGCAATAATGAACACTTTGCTGCACTTTCTTCATCTATCACTTTTGTTGTTTCTGCAGAAATATTTTATTTTTTAATTGTCGGTTTCTTTTTTTCTTTCTTTCTTTTTTTTTTTTTTTTTTTGGCCAGGGCTGGGTTTGAATCTGCCACCTCCGGCATATGGGGCCAGCACCCTACTCCTTTGAGCCACAGGCACCACCCCTGCAGAAGTATTTTAAAGCAAATCCCAGACTTAGTTTCTGTGAACCTCTCCGTACTTCAGTTTGCTCTCTCTTTCTGGTTCATGTTGAGACTCATGGGTGAGGTCAGGTGGTGATGACACGATACTTCCACTTAAGGTTTTCCGTCAACTTTTTTGTTAGTAATTTCATCCATTATTTTCACTGAGGTTTACCATATGGTAGTATGTCCAATCTTCTTGTTCCTTCCAAAGTCATAACTGGAATTCAGTAAGGACAAGCTGTTCCTCATCAATCAGAGCATTTGGTTACCCTAAAATAAATGGTTAAAAATCATTCACATAGTAAGGTAGATGAGCCTTCCCTTTTAAATATTAAAAGTTGACAAATTACTCTATATAGAGTTTGAAGCTGGTATGGTAGCTTACTCCTATAATCCCAGCACTTTGGAAAGCCAAAGCAGGAGGATCACTTGAGACCAGGAGTTCAAGACCACCCTAGGGAACATAGTGAGAACTTTTCTCTATGAAAAATAAAGAACAATTAGCCAGGTGCCATGGCCTGTGCCTATAGTGCCAGCTACTGGGGGTGAAGTGAGCCTGAGGCAGGAGGATAGCTTGAGTCCAGGAGTTCAAGGGTATAATGAGTTGTAATCATGTCATTGTACTCTAACTGAACCACAGAGTGAAATCCTGTCTCTGAAAAAAAGGAGTTTGTAAATGTCTTTCATATGCTCTCACCGATACAGGGTATTATCGTCTTTGTGATCTTTTCAGTTCTAATGAGTTAATCCTGCTATTTCAGTTTAATTTTAATTTATATCTTCATTATTTAATGTCCTAGTCCTCCCTTTCTTTATCTATTACAGCATCTGTTGTTCTACTGTGAGCAATACTTAAACTGTCCAGTAATCTGTTCTTTCTCCCTCCCTTCCTTTCCTCCTCTATCCAATTTTTGTTACTACTGTGTTCTTGATGTTAGTCTTTGGATTTTTGTATCTCCTTAAGACTCTTGGAGCTTGATTTGTAACCTCCAGCTGACTCCGAGGAATCAGAAATCATACCCAGGATTGACTTTTATCACTAATTCAAAGGATACAGGTAATCTGAGTGAGACACAGAGAAGTCTGGAAAATCACATACACAAAAGAAGCCATTTCAGTTATAGAATTCCCTTTTTATTTATACCCTAAGAATTACATGGCTTACATGAAGGTTCCAGCATGCCATGCTCCATAAATCTTTAAATTTTTGGTTTATTTATAATAAACAGCTTAGACAGATGATATATCCTGATAATAGCATTCCATAGTTAAGGACTGTCTCTCTAGTTACTATTACTACTGTCTGTTATCAAGATGTTTACAAATATATTTGGCCACTTCATCTCTCCTTTTGTTTCTGTGCCATCTCTGTTTTTATATTCCTAACATCTCTGGTAAAGGGAGAGAGTATATTAAGTCTTTCCTTCCAAAACTAACTTTCTCTTTAAACAAGACCTTTCCTCTGTGGTGTTTTTCTTCTGTAGCAATGTCTTTCTCTGTCCGATCTTTCTACTGTTACTGAGTAGTTGAGGTTTGAGTGGATAGTGGCCCCAGGTTGCATGTTGTGAAGGATTAGAAAGGCTTGAGGACAAGAAACTCTTAGGTGCAGTTGTCATGGGTGAAGTTGGAAAGCCCACTTCACAGTCCTGCTCTGCAAGGACAGGTGATGAACGCAGTCAAATGATAAGTTCCCAACTGGGTTACAGTTCAACTGTGCAGAGGGAAAACTAATACAGAGAGAACTGGAGTAGAGGAGCTGGAAAATAAGCTAAGATGCAGCTTTCCAGGCCAGCTCTTGGTCAGATAAAAGAAAATACAGACACCTCTCCCTGTGATAGTCACTGGAGGACGTTTCTGGCCACTGCCTGCCCAGAGCTGTGGAACATGCAGCTGTGCAGCTAGGAGTCAATTTTGCTGGAGCGTCGCAGAATTGTAGACTCCTTGGCTGCAGAAGGAGATGACCCACCACCAGAAAGGAGCAGAGTGTTCCATTTCCTCACAAACCAGGAGCTTCTCTCCAAAACAAAACAAAACAAAAACAACAACAACAAAAAAGAAACTTTAAGGGAAACCCAGCAGACTCTAGTAGAATCATGTGTAAATTTCTCAGTATACAATGGTGGCAGACACCCAGGGCAGGAATTTCTCAAGCCTAGAGCTGCAGAAGCACTCCCTGAGGGACTTGGAAAGAGCTAATGTGGGTAAACGCCCAGCCTGGAGACTGGTCTTGCTGTCACTGTTGCAGGACAGGCCCCAAGAGGGCTGCATGGGTTACTTCTTTATTGTCTGGCGATGTACCAGAATTCCGAGAGGAGTGTTGAACATCAAAGCAAGGCTATCAAGTCCAACATCACATTTCTAATCCAAAGGCGTTCAGCAGAAATAAGATGAAGGACTAAAGTGGTGAGGGCATGTTGAGAATTCAGAAAAGCTAAAGACAAGTCCTTTGTAAGGTGGCCAGGAGCAAAGCTAGATACTTGTGGTATATTTTTAGAGAGTTCCCATGCAGATTGGGTGGATAGATCATAGTGATTTGCAAAGGAAGAGTGGATCTTCTCCGAACACGTCTTTCCTCTCATCTTTTTGCTATTGCTAACATTATCCCTAAGCTCCTACACTGCCCTTAGATGTCTGAGGATACGATGTTAACACTTTGCTTCTGAAGACTGATGGCGGATGAGTGTCCAGTGTGTTTCAGACCAGCATGGACCTGGACATGTTTACTATAACAACCGATCTGAGAAAGTTTTTAACTCCTTAGCTGTTCGTCCATGCTGACTAGTGTCCTGTACATGATACCTAGATGTCATAGTTTCTTGTGGTACCTCTTCTTCCTACAATCACTTCATCTTCCATAGTGTGGATATGATATCCTTTTTCTTGAATAATCGCAGTGTGAGTATACCTAATAATGGGAGGATTAAGTAGGTGCTACACAAAATACATATGTATGTTTTATTTGAAGTAATAAACAATCTCTGGGATTCCCATTAGGTCAGAGGAGAAGCCAACTAAAATATTTCTTTTCTAGGGGTTTCAAAAGCTGGCATACCTGAACTTGAACCAAGTGATCCTGCAGAAAAAGGATGAATTTCCTCCGTCACCCATATTCATAATTAGAGTCAGACGAAGCCGCCTGGTTGAAGATGCTCTACGTCAGTTAAGCCAAGCTGACGTCCTTGACCTTTGGAAAACACTAGTGGTACAGCAAAAAGTCTCACTGAACATTTTTACTGCTGTGGGAGAGAAACGTTCATATAACATAACAAAGCCTTTCTTAAATAGCCTGCATTTGCAACTATGATTATCAGTCTGATGATTTCCAGAATTCCCCTCTTACTCTTCAGAAAACAACAGCGAAATGCTTAACTGCACGTTGGGTTATAAGTTAACTGTGAGTTACTATGGCTATACAAATGCTGTGTATTGAAATATCCCAAAGCTTAATGGCTTAAAATAGCAATAATTTATTTTAACATCTGTAGTGCAGCTGAAGATCTGCTAATCTAGGCAGAACTCATCTGTGTGGCTTTATAGATTTTGCCTGAGTTCATTTCTATGTCTTGGAGTTGACTATGGATCGGCAATCTAGGCCTGGTCGGGCAGTTCGACTCTGCTTCCTGTGTCCTTCATCCTCTTGGGACCAGCAAGCATGTTCTTCCCATCACAGTATCAGAGGGGAAAGGTAGCAAGCCCAATGGAGCAACGAACATTATTTTCATCCAAACAGTCACATGTCACATGTCTGAATCCCAATCCAGGGCTGCAGTAATACACTCAGCTTCTATAATGGGAGGAACTGCAGAGTCATGTGCAAAAGATGTGGCTCAAGGAGGGGTGAAAATTGGGGGCTATTAATGCAGTCGCCAAGCAGGCGGTAGAATGGATGCTTTTCCTACCTTTGGCTTTAGTTTTGGTTTAAGACCTTCTACTCTATGAGTTTCAATTCCAGCCATTCCTCATTTCATCCTTTAGGGTTTTTAGTGTGTAGCAGCTCAGATCATTTGCCCTGTTGAGGCTACAGAGTAATGACTAATTCTGTAGGTAAGAGCTGGAGGGTGAGCAGGAGTGGATTTTTCTGATATTGGCCATGAGAAGAATTAGGCTGTCAGAGAAGAAACCAGAACCTGGGGGAAGGGACTCAGAAGACGGATATTTCCCAGTGTGGGACTCCATGGGAAAAAAAGACATTACATAAGCCAGAGTTTCTGGTCATATGTTTTCATCTGTACCTATTTTTATTTAAATCTTAACCATGGGGAGGGTTGGGCATGAACTCCTAACCTCAAGCAATCCACCTGCTTGAGGTTAGGAGTTCCAGATAAGCCTGAGCAAGAACAAGACCCCCTTCTCTACTACAAATAGAAAATTAACAGGACATGGTGGTGGGCACCTGTTGTCCCCCCCCTACTTGGCAGGCTGAGGCAGGAGGATCACTTGAGCCCAGGAGTTTGAAGTTTCTGTCAGCTTTGATGCCATAGCACTCTAGCCAGAGGCAACAGAGTGAAAGTCTGTCTCAAAAAAAAAAAAAAAAAAAAATTCTTGACAGTGAGGAAATCAGTAGAAAATTCTTCCCCCCCTGGGCGATGACCAAGAGTAAGTAAACAAACTGCAAGACAGATCCAATCCAAACACAGACTCTGAACGAGGCAAGGTTGTCAGGTCCTTATGAGGGCGCCTTGACCATGGCATAGACAGACCAGCCAGTGTAAATGAGCAGGAAGAAGAAAATCAGAAGTTGTTGGGAACTTGTTACTGGGATATTCAGATGGAAAAGTGGGTCAGGCCCTTGGACACGATGATCTACAGCAAAGAAGTTGATCAAAGTGGCCATAGGTAAGATTTCCGAGGCAAAGAGAGTAGATAGAGAACCAAAGTCCAAGAAAGGAAGTCTAGAAATGTTTCTGTTTAAAAGATAAAAGTAAATTACCAAGAAAAGGAAGTAAAAAAAGAGTAATTAGAGAAGTGGAGGAAAACCGAGATAGTTCTCAGTCACAAAGTTGGAAGGTGGAGAGAGCTTCTGAAGAGGGGTTTGTTAATAATACTGATTTCTCACTTGAGAGCTTTGGGTACTCGGGTGTGATGGTTGCTGCAAAGGTCTCACTCACCTCCCAGGCGACTGGGAGGGCTAGTTAATGGAAGCCTGGATGCAGATAAGAAGCTGGAGAAACCAAATAGCTGTGGGCTGGAGCCAAAACTATGACATTTGAATAATGGGATGAAGATAGATAAATAAGATAGACTAATTGGGGAATATGGAGATCTGGTGGTGTAAAGTACTTCAAAACTTGGTTCAAGATGCTGGTCACTATAACTGGTAAATGTTAAATCTTGCCAGAATCCCCCTTCATATGGTCCATATGGCAATATAAAGGATCCCAGTGCTCACTATACAACAACCTGAGAATAAATAGGTTCGTGACCTCCACTGGTGAGTAGCAAATTGAGGAAAGATTGCAAGAGCGTAAGAGATGTGTGATTCTGGTAATTCTAGTGACAGCAGGAATAGTTATCAGAGGTTTAAAATGCTTCCATAAAAATCCAAAGCATTGTGTTTTAATCAGGACTGGGGACTATATTCTCTTTCCTTAGGTTGAATTTATTAAAGAAATTCGACCTGAGAGTGGAGGGGTCTCTTCAGAGTTCTTTCACTGTATGTTTGAAGAGGTGACGAAGCCACAATATGGAATGTTCATGTATCCAGAAAAGGATTCGTACATGTGGTTTCCTGTCAATGTAAGTCTTTTATTTATGTTTTTTCTTCAGGACAGAAAAATTATCCCAGATACTACAACATGAAAACCAAAACAGTAGTGGAAAATTAGGTCATAAAGAATCTTGCTACTCGTATTTCAAGTAGTACTTGTATGGTCCACGGAGCCATAGCTATAGTGTCATCTATTAGAAAAGTAGCATCTTGGCAGGGCGCTGGCCCCATATACCGAGGGTGGAGGGTTTGACCCGGCCCCGGCCAGCCAAAACAGCAGTGGCAACTGCAACAAAAAATAGCTGGGCATTGTGGTCAGCACCTGTGGTCCCAGCTATTCAAGAGGCTGAGGCA